GTAAATAAAATAATTTTAGTAAGTGTGTAGCAGACACCCAATAAGGTTAGTTCCTTCTTGTGGCTCTAATAGAGAATCATTGCTGTACTTTGCATTTAGTCAGTCAGAAACAGTGAGTTTCATGCATAACAGGGTTCGAAGGAAAAAGCATTTAATGGACCGTGTTAAATTTAGGAAAGTATGTTATTTTATATTATGTATGGAAATGGAAGACAGCTGTAAAAGCTTGAATTGAATAACAAATTTAAAATGTACTAAACAATGGGAGAGTGATAAAGCTTGTAATTCTTGAATAGAATTTGCTGTGGTCAGGTATTTAAACTGTAAAATTTTACATAAGAAACTGGTAACAGGAAGCAATCAAATGCAATAGGAATATGAGTGATAGAAAATGCTTACACTTCAAAATGAACAAATGATGGAAAGGTAGTCCTTCCTGCAGGGGGTTAACTGCTATTTACAGATGGAGAAATAGCAGATTAGCTGTGTTCATGCAGTCAAATTATTATAAACCATTCCAGTTACTCTTATGAGTTATGAATTTTGCAAAACTGGTTACATTTAAAATTGAACTTTCAGGAGAGCATTGATTTTGGCCACAGGCATGCTGTCTTTAAAATACTTTCAGAAATTGCTCCAAGAGTGGGGCATAATTTATACAGTATGTTGATTATAATATCTAAAAACACATATTTCTATATATATAAATAAAACTATTGATAAATACATATGATCAGCTCATATGCCTGGCAAACTATACATTGGCTACATGGAATATTCTCTGGTTATGAAAAATAAGCCTGATATCAATATATGCAATAGGAGCATGAGATAAGTTTGTAAGGATGCTCATCTCTTTATGTCAGGTTCACAGTTGCATTGTGTGTTTCAGGAATGTGTCGTGAGGCCTAAGAGTGTAAATCAATCTCTGGGAGATGAGGTGTAGCGAGGAAGGCGATGGTAAGGAGGAGACGCCACCTCCTCCTCCAGAACAGTCTGGGGCACAAACGCACAGCAGTGGTGAAGAGGGTGGTGGAGTTTTGGGGAGGCTGGTGGGAGGAGGGGGAGTTTTGAGCTGAGCTTTGGAGTTGCGGGGTAGCAGAGTGAGCATGTGGCCGGGGGAGCAGCAGCTTTCACGGATCTCAGCCTAGTGCAAGCTCAGTGTGGGTGTGTGGCCTGGTGACTGCTGGTATGGCAGATTAAGAATCATTGTGCTTATGTTGCAAGAGAAAATTGATTTCAGATGGCCTAAAGAGCCAAACTTCAGGTGTTTTTTTTGCCCCCCTCCTTCTCTTCCAGGGGATTAAGCCGAGGCCCATCATCCTGAACTACATCCCCAGCCCTCTGCCCACCCCACCGTGTTTTTGTTTTGAGACATGGTCTTGCTATGCAGTTCAGGCAGACTGGAACTCACTTTGTAGCCCAGGCTGGCCTCTCACTGACGCTCCCGCCTCAGCCTCTTGAGTGGGGGATTATGGGCATATGTCACCATGCCCCAGCCTTGCCCCTTTGTTTTTTGAGACAGGATCTGGCTAAGTTGTCCATCCTGTGCTTGAATTTGTAGTTCTTTTTCCTCAATTTTCCAGAGTATCGGGATTGCAGGCATATCCCACCACACCCAGCTATGGTTTGTAAAATTTTATTTTGGGGCTAGAGCTGTAGCTCAGTGGTAAAACATGTACATAGCACACAAAAGGCCCTTAATTTGATCCCCAGTACCCCCAAATATTAACTGTACGATTATGGCAAAGTGTAGGGGCATTGATACACAACTGTGCAACCTAAAGAAGAATGCTAAACCAAGTACTGACAGGACCCCTGAGGTTATGAAAATAAACTCTTTCATCCCTTTGTACCTTTCTGATACCATTGCTCTCTTGCAAATGCAGAGGCGAACATGTTAGGATGATTCACTTGCTACTCTGCTCTCATGACCTCTATGTATACCTTAAAAAATTACCTTAGTGTGGCCTGTCTTAAAACTCTGTAAGAGAACCCTACTGTGTATATTCTTTTTGTGAACTGCTTCTTTCTCTGCAGAATGTGAGCATCCTCTGTGTTGATGTGCAAGTTAGTGTTTTTTTAACTTTACAGTGTATAACTGCTTACTGTAGTTCACCTATTTGCACTGTTGGCGAATACTTGTCTTCTCTAGGATTTGGAGATCACTGTGACCCCTTCAGTGGGTTCTAGGACACATTCACAGGTACCCATGTGCGAGAGCTGTTTTGGAATTTCGCCAACATTCCTGGGTTGTAGAATATCATCAGGTTTTCCAAAAAATGTCAAAGAACTTAACAAACAACTAATGCCAAATTTTCTTTCTCTGGAAGGGTTAGAGGATTTGATCCTACACATGAAATCGCACCATCACTTGGAGTTGCCAGAGTTAACTAACTTTTGAAGTATCTTGAAGTTTTAATGTTCACTTTTAGGACCCCTAAGGATTGAGCATTTTTCATGTGGCTTTGGGCTGCTGGACCTGCCTTCACTTCCTTTCCTAGAGTATGCCTATCCGAGTGTTGCCTGTTTTCTTTTTATTAGAGTTCTGCCTTATGCAACTGATGGGTCACAGTTCTTCCTGCCATTTAACTATATGCTGATCTTCACTCTTTTGCCTTTAAAATCTCAATCTAGTCAAATTCAGTGCTGGCTTTCTGTTTCTTTATAAGTGATTACTCCCAAACCTGGCAGCGTGAAGCAGTGCCTCTTTGAATGTCAGTTTGGACGTGACCTCTGCACACACAGCTGCCTGTAAGACCAGAGAAGCCCAGCTCCTGTGGGTGGTGGGCAGCTGCTAGGGAAGCAAGGGTCCGTAGGTCCACAAGTCTTACTGTCCTGCAGACCTGGCCTGGGCATTTTCATGTGGCATGCAGAGGGTTTTAAGAGCTGAATGGGGGAGTGCAGTTTCTTGAGGTGAAAGGACCTGAATTGTGTAGTGTGAGCAGTGGGAAAATGGATGAGCTGTTCATAGGAGGAGCTGCAGAGTTGCATGGCAGAGATGCTTGTGTCAGGAGAGGTGAGGGGGTTACACCACGCTTGCGGTATGTCACGTTGCACACCATCAACTGTGCTTTTCTTGCATCCATCAAGGCTAAGAAAGTAAAATCCAAAGTTATGTTCCAACCTGCCTTTTGTCCTTAGGCCCCTCAATGGATCTTTCGCTATAAAGAGAAAATAACCTTGAGAACATAAGATAAACATGAATTAGATGGGAGGGAAATAAACTTTCAAAAACCACGATGGTTGGGAATGCCGACAGTGGAGAAGGTTGTTCCTATGTGTGAGAGCGGTACATGGGGAAATCTCTGGACCTTCAGCTCAGTTTGGCTGTGAATGCAAAAAAGTCTGTTTGATTAACAAAATGTGACAGCAGCTGAAAGCGCTGGTGGGCATTATTAGAAAGTTTGGGAATAAGACAAACAGCTGGTCTTTGGAAGCTTTGGGATAGGTTTTATACCTAATGATTAAGTTAAAAAATTAGCATTTTATAACATGAGAATATTTTTCATTTCCATTCCATTTGTTAGCTGTCATACAGTAGAGAAAAGAGAAATATACCCCTCCTATATCTTAGGATCTTACAGAAACAATGCTCAATTTATTCCTGGTTTGCTCTCTTCCTTGTCCATTTTTATTGATAGTGAGTAGGGACTTCAGTCAGTAGCTGACAGTTGCATTTCCCCATTTTAATTTTTTTTTTTTTTTTGGTACCTGGAATCAAATTCAGGACTTCATGCTTGCCAGGCAGGCACTGTGCTGCTGAGCTGTATTCCTGGCTTCAGTTTGCTGGAGATGAAATTTTATTTTCAAATAATAGGACACTGTTAGTCTCCACTGTGCAGAGGCGGCAGCAGCAGTAGAGAGCGTGAGTCGGTGAGCAGCTTCGTGGCGAGCCTGGACAGACAGTGATAGAGTAACAGCAAGTCTTGGCAGTTGTTACCTGTGCAGCACTGATTGTGCTAATTACTTAGTATCTCCATAGCTCTCGTTAGAAATGTGGATCAGTTCCACTTTGTATATCTCTTGAAAACATTGAATGAGATTATGTATACGCCAAACCTTTTGTGGTATGTCATTCTTAAAATAAATGTTCATTCATGTTATTTACTTGTTTTTGTGATGCTAAGATCAAATGCAGAGCCTTATGGATGTTAGACAAGTGCTCTACTACTGAGCTATGCTCCCAGCTAAGTAGGTGTGTCACACTGGGTTAGTGACTAACCCTCAAAGAGTACAAGTGTTGCTTTTCTTTCCTGTTTTTGCAGTGCTGGAGATTGAACCCAGAGCTTACCCACATGCTGCCCAGAAATATACTCATGGCTGTTAACCTACTAGAATTTTCCATTGTTGTCTTAATCTCTAATGAACAGAAAGAACAACCTCTAGTTCTTTTGAAGAATTATTTCTACCATTTCATTGGCCTTTGGATTATTCTCTGCTGCTATCTTTTGTGAACTTTTTTTTTTAAAATCTTCTGGGTTTTACTGGCTGGAGTGGTTATTTGGCAATTAGCACAAAGCACCTAGTTGGCTAACTCTGAGCTTTGGGAAGACCTTATGTTTGAAACCCCGGCAGGCAGCCAGATTTCATCCCAGCCCCAAGAGGTACTATCAGGTGTGTGTTCTCAGCCATAGCCTGAACTTTGGAATTGGGCAAATTCTGAGCAAATTTCTGCATGAGCAGGAAAAAGTAAAGTAAGTGCTCTGGGGAGATGATGTGAAATAATCCCATCTAAGGATGAAGACGGTGTGTGTCTGTATCTATCTGTCTCTGTGTGTATAGTGGTTCTCCATTGCCTGTTCTGTGCCAGGGCGTGGAACAGAAGTTGGGGGCCACTTGGGATGTTCCAGTTTGAGGCTGATGGGAACTGGCTTGTGCCATCTCAGTGGCCAGGTGCAGGGCAGCCCAGTACCCTTACCCATTTAGAGGGAGTGAATTTTCTCGAACCCTTGGTTTACAAGTGTGAATCTAGCTAATGCTCGTACCCCACTTTGCAGGTCTCTCGGCAGCCCAGAGGAAGTTTGCTCATTCACTCAGAGACTTCAAGTTCGAGTTCATCGGTGATGCGGAGACCGACGATGAGCGCTGCATAGGTACGGTATGATCTCGTAAGGCCGGCTTTGCCCTCCTCGGCCTGCGCTGCCAATCCTGACTCCTTTCTCCTTCCAGATGCCTCCTTACGTGAATTTTCAAATTTTTTGAAGAATCTCGAAGAACAGAGAGAAATTATGGTGAGTACGGGAATGTAACTCAGTAAATCAGATTTCATATGGGGGGGGGGCGGAAATCAGTGTTTAAAAACCAATTCTGGCAAAAGTTTTGATTGCATTTATCTGTGGGTGTATGTAGTAGGGTGTTTAGTGGAAAGAACTATAATCATGATCTCATTGAGAAGAAGATTTCAGGGACTTCGGGCCTGAGATCCAACCCTAACTCTCTAAGCAGCCTAGACATGTCAGAGGTGAGTCAGGCTCTAAAATCACCCTGCTGTTCCCTCTCCGTCGCATTGGCTTTTCTGGGGTCTCATTGTTCCAGAATGGAGGGGCCAAGGCCATTTAGACCAAAACACCATTTCATCTATGAAATGGGGGGCTAGGTGCTTTTAGCTCTAGTTCTCAGTAGGATTTTTATGTAAATAGGACCTCAGACAGAGCATTAATTTCTTATGAAGCCAAACGCAGAAAAGCCAGCTCAGAGGCAGGGTGATTGTTGGGCCTGGCTCATCACTATAGATTTCTCCACTGCATTGGGAGGGACAGGCCTGTAAGCTCCTGAAATACACTTTACAATTAGAACACTAAGAAGAATCCCTTGCCTTCATCAGATGTGCCCCATGGGCCTTATGCTCTGCCCTGTCCCTTGAGCGGTGACTTTATTTAACACTTATTCAGCTGTGAAGTTTGTGGATAGCATGTAGTGTTTGCTCACCTTTCTAAAGAGCTCATGTTTCCTTTTTAATGATACTCATTCATTCAGAGATCGACAGTAGGATCCCCACTGAGTTGTGACACACAATTCTCCCTGCTTTCTCTAGGCATACAAAAACTGCAGACTGAAGTGGTGGAAAGCATGCTTTTCATGCATGAGGCTCTGGACTCAGTCCTTTACACCAAAAACCTCAAACAAAAACAACAATGGCAGAAAAAAATCCCTAATTTTTCTAGGTTCTTGAGAATGAGCACTGTGTGGGACAGTACAGTGTAGGTGTCTAAGTGGGCTCAGATGTAGTGGCTGCAGTAACTAAGACAGATAATCTCACCTGGCTGCCAGTACTGTTCTCAGCTGCTTATCTAGTTTTGAGTCATTTCATAATCATATTGACTATAAGGCAGATACTATCATTGCACCCTATTTTACACCTGACGAAACTGTGGCACAGGCCCTTGTTCAAGATCACGTGGCAGCATATAAAGCAGAGCTGGTGTGTGTGAGATGTGGCACTCTGAGTCCCCACCCTGCATCAGCTTGCTAGAAGTTTTTGTGGTCTGCCTGATGGAGGCAGATGTGTGTGTGGGGGGACTTTTGGTCCAGTGGACTTGGAGTATGGGTGAAGTAGAAGGAGGAAGCTGATCGGAATTTAAACTAACAGATGAATGCTTTCTAAAGGCCCTCATACAATTTGTATTGTCTCCTAAATTCTGATATATTTCGTGTATGTCATAATTTCCATGGGGCCTAATTTTCTGGCAAATGCTGGTGGATTCAGCTGTTATTCATGTGGTCCCAAGTTACTGAAGTTTAAGCTGTTTAGGAAAGACTAACTATGATAGAGGATAAAAATAATGCCATGATGTCACCTTTCTACTGCACGAAATGGGTATAGGTTGGTGATGGAGAGCCTTACTTTATCAGTAGTTTCAATTTGTGTGCATGTATGTGTGTTCAAATTTCCTTGTTGTTTAGATGTTCTTTTCTGGGATCCTGTGTATCCAGAAAGTGTTTATAGCTATCCCATTGCGTTTGAGTGACTGTTTAGTGTCTGAGAACACTTAGGCACACCCAGCTGAAGTCTCTGTCTTTGTGGCAGTTAGACTCTGGGAAGAGGAGGTGACAGTAATAAATAAGCATGGCTGACAATTGATAGCAGGCTACAGAGCAGAACAGAGAAGGGAAAGAAGCCAGAGGTGGGCCCCGGTTGGTGGAGATGGAAAGTGGCAGAGAGCTCAAGCCTTTTCTGCCCCGGACTGGACTGTGTGAGGTTGTCCTGCGTCTGGGAGAGGGGAGTTCTGGGCAGAGTGGAGCTAGGTTTTAGCTCTACAGAGACACTGTGTGACCGTCACCTGCCTTCATATTCTGTTTCCATTTTAGGCAACTTGAAATGTTGCAGTCAAGAAACTGGAATATGGCCTTAGCTCAGCCTGTGTGATAGAGCAGGGCTCTTACAGTTTTTGTTAGCTGACTTGTGAGTTCAACCTTGGGCTGTGTGACGGTGCTTGGTAGGGTTTCTATCCTGGGGAGGTAGGAGTGTGAAGGCGTTGGGTCCTCAAAATGGGCAGTAGTGAGAGGGGCGGAATCTGTAGAGGATGAAACCCAGAGCATGGGGTGCTCCAACCCACCAGTGAGGAGAGAACCACCTGCCAGTGACAGAGCACTGTCTCCAGCCAGAAAGCAGCGGAGGGTAGCGCAGCCTGCCAGAAAATTCTTCTTTGCAGCCTGGATAACAACATGCATGCCCAGATGTAGAGCAAAGTACCACGCAAGCACACGCACTCAGCACCCAGCAGTGTGTGCCTGCTGTTCTCCCATTGTTCTGATGGGAAGCTCTGCATCATTCCAGTCACAAATACCTCAATACGTATCTCAGAAAGGTGACACTTGGTAAGAACAGTGTCCCGTGTTCAAATAAATTACATCTGCCAGGTAACTTTGTTTTTTTTTTTTTGAGCCCAGACTTCCCCATGGAGCTGCATCACCAGCCTTTGGCTTTTATTTTGAGAAAGTCTCACTCACTTGCCCAGGTTGGGCTGAAACCCAGTGACCCTCCTACCTCATGATGAGTGTGTAATTTCATGAGTAACCTTCAAGTCACTTTAAGAAGATTCTTTTTTTCTTCCTTGATAAGAATTTTTGATTCTTTTTAATTTTCCATTAAAAAATACTTAAGATGCTGTTTTCCTGAATAGCATCCTCTCAAGCATAATAATGAAATTCATAGAAGTGGAAAAACTTCACATTTAAATCAGACTGTTGTTACCTTGGGACTTTATGTCTAAACTGGATGGATCTGTCTTTGGCCTTTCTCTCTCCCTTTCTCTCTTGCTCTTTCTCTCAGTAACTTGATATTCTCCTGTAGCAGCTGGGCTTACAGGTATGCACTGCCGAGCTTGGCATGACAACTATTTCCAAAAGTTTTCCATATCTTAAATGTTACATAGGGCTTTGGGTTTTAAAGGGACAGCGTCCCCTATCTTGAAGGTTGAATAGTGGAACAAGTTCTTTGTTGGTTTTGAGCCAGCAGGTATCCGCGTCCATGTGTCTAATCTGTTACTTAAATAGGGCGCATTAACTTGAACAGATACCACTGTGTGCGTAGGCCTTGCCAAGCAGAGATGTAGCTCTTTGCCCCTTGGAGTCCCTGGCTGTCCCCAGGCCCAAAGCTTGCACCTTTAGCAGGAGTGGAGAATTAGGGGAAGGCCTCATGGAGAGGTGGATTCTGAGCTGAGTTGAAGGCTGAATGGGAATTAGGTAAGGAAAGATGGATTGAAGTGCTGGTTTCCTCCCTGAGTGGGAAACGGGCTGAATCTGAACATCAGGGAAGATTGTGTTTGTATATCCCTCCTCCCCATCTTAAGGTCTGGCTGCATTGCTGTAAAAATGAATTATTAGTGTTGGATGAGGCCCTGGGTTCTGTCCCTAGCATCCTGCAAAACCAAACATCAAAGCCTGTAGCACGAAGTATTGGAGAAGGAAGTGGGGAGCTCTGTAGTCTAATGAAGAAGTCACCACTTCCTTCTGCACTTAGAAGTCCAGTTTCCCTGACCGGATGTGCCTGCCTGATCCAAAGCCCAACATGTCCTTTTCAGGACCACACTGTGAACCGAGTAGTCTGACTTGTGGGCATGCCAGCGTTTTGCATGTGTGCCCCGCGGAAGCTCTGCCTGGCTGGCAGGCGACTGTCTGCCAGGATTCTGGGGATGTTCTCTCTGCTCGGTGGGACGTGGTGTACTTCTCTGAGGTGGGCAGCTGTCCAGGAATCTAAGGGCTTTTAAAATAGCCCTGTACTCTAGATGATGTTATTTAAAAAGCCCTGCATATTGTGTTTATTTCTCCACATGGGTCCCTTTATTGGATTATTTTATTTTCCTTGCTAGCCTACAAGTGTTGGCACCATTTCTGAGGGTTCTGGCAAATTGAAGCAGTGGGAGCCTGAGGGTCTGCAAAGGAGAGCTTGGCAGTGGTGCCCAGAGATTCCTGAAACGGTGCTGGGCAGTGCCTCCTTGTGATCCCAAGGGTGCAGGGGCTGGCAGGCACCAGGCAGATCGAGCAGCTGCCCTGTCCACCTGCTGCATCCCTTCTCCACTTGGGCAAGATGACTTTTCCCAGGCAGGCCCGTAGGCCTTCAAGTCCGGGCTGTGTGTGTGTGTGTGTGTGTGTGTGTATGTGTGTGTGTTTTCCCTCTGTCAGGCTTCACTCTTGTGAAAACACTGGGACAGAGAACACCTGCTGGGCCATATGCCTTAAGCTTGTGTCCCACAAGAGTCCGGAGGAGGTGCTAACTCTAGTGCTGATGTGTGGCTTGGTGATTCTGATTGTTAGGTGGGGCCTCAGCTCTGCTCTGCCGGGCTTCACTCCTGACGCACCACTGTTTCATCGCCTCCAGGTTCTTTCATAACTGCTTGCATTTTTGACATTGACTTTTGTTGCAAACTATTGTTTCTTTCAGAAATGTCCTAAAGTATTCTAAAACTTATAATCTGGTAATATAAGCTTTACAATACTCAACTCAGTTAATTCTCTTTTTTACCTCTGGGGAGAAAATTGCGTGATTGTCCTTCTGTAGTATGTCCTAGGGCTGTTGTTTTCAGAGCGCGTTCCCGTTCCATCAGCATCTCCTGGAAACAGAGGAGACATGCTCATTCTCAGGCCCCTGCCCAGACCTGCAGAGTCAAACTCTGGGGCCTGTCCTTTGGCCCAAGCTGTAATAAGCCCTCTAGGTGACTAAGATGTGCCAAGCCATGGGCTTGGATGCCAGGGAGGTTTCTTTGATAGTCCTTATCTTCAAGCTAGATCT